GATAAATTCATAGAATTGTAAATGTTTTATTAAAATGAAAAATATATAATATCAAAAGCATTATGAAAATGAATTAAATATGATTCATATCAGGGTGAAGGTTAGGTAACTCTAATACTGAGCAAGGTTTGATCGGTATTTTACCCGAAAATATCAGTCGGCAGATTTATTATGCAGAATAACAAGAGCATATATTTCTGGATGGTACTATTATACAACCAGCAAAGTCATTTTTATAATCATAAGACATTATCATTTCTATAATCATCACTCCTAAACGTCAATTGTCGATTTACCAATGACATTAGAAAACGTTTATGAATCATTATCATGTGTATTGAGTGATGATCTCAGGCGATTCCAATTGCAGTAATTAGTTGTGAAAAGCAGTTGTCAGGAATGTAGGAAATCGTTAGTTATTAGTGAGTTGGAAATATCACAGAAATGATGCTGAGTTAATCGGCATCGAGAACAGCCAAACAGTTTCAAGGAAGGAGCGCCTTGAGCATGTACTAGTTGCATGGATATGTGCGCTATAGACATACCCTATAATAATAATGAAAGTAAGGATCAAGAATTGCTTTGTAAGAAACACATCGTGTTTCCAAAGTTTACACAACCATCAGTATCGAACTGATTCTGAAGTACGTTTGGGGTTCGTTATATCCGGAGATAATTATCGGAAATATACTGACGTACAAAAGAAAATATACACCTTGCCCTTATACGAAATATACACCTTGCGCTGGAAAAAGAACAACGCAAATATTTAGCTTTCATTGTGACATACAAGTCACTTACAATGTGTGCATGTTGCACAGATATCCTTTACACTGGGATATCATCGTGGGATATCATCATCAGAAAAACTGTCCTTAGCTTCGTCACATTCGAGATTTCCCGTGAAGATCCGGGTAAGAATTGGTCCTCTGCAACCCATGCTTGTCGTAAGGGGCAACTAACGGGATAAGGTGGTCAGGCTCGCTGACTTAGCGCAGAACGATGCTCACAATAGCGTAAAACGATGCTCATGATGTTGACCACCGGATTGTCTGGTCCAGACTCGATTATTTACAGACCTCCGCCATATAGCTGGAATATTGCTAATTGCGGCGTTAAACAACAAACACCAACAATCATTTCAGAGATGATTATCAAACACGGTCAGAGATTTTATCATATCAGTGGACAGTCATGTTTATTGTATCAGTACCTTCCACCCTCAGTTAACCGACACCACACGTACACAACTTCTTGCCACGCATCCCGGAAGTAAGCAATAATGGAACTCCCGTGAAAGAAGAGTCAACACAACCCGAACATAATACAGTAATGTGTGTATTGTTATCGCGAGTGTTGTTTAACGTACATGTTATGGCTCTTAAATCGGCCACCAGGCTTTCGGAGTAATTAGTTGGCCTACTGGAAACCTAGCACCACCATAATGTGTGTTTCTGGGTTCTTTGCAGCTAATGTTCGACACCAACATAAGTAAGACAACACCGATATCACGTTCAATGTGTTATTTCATAGAAATGCGCTACACTTTGTCTGAAAACTAAACATACTGCTCAGTCAATAATGTGATCGCTTGTCACTCTGTAAATACAACCAGGTTAGAAAGTGACTTCAAAAGCGAAATCATTTGACTCTGAGATTACCGATCGATCTCTGTAATAGTGCTCCAGTGAAGGCCGTATGTCCGTGTCGATTTTCAGAAACCACTATTAGCAATTACATATAGTAATATTTGTCATATACTTCCGCGGGTGATAAAATAAATCATATTTTGACAGTGCAGTTGAAAGCATTACCAACATTTCAAACGCCGAACTCTAAAGTGATTCCATTAAGAGTATTGCAGTATGACGTCATAAGGAGAATGTGTTCACACTTGTATGAATATTTGATAGCTATTTCTCTTTCTGTCTCTTTGCAAACCTAACATGTTGTTTTTATCGATGACAGTTTGAGTAGGCTACTGTGTTGTACTTTCAATCAATAAATTTGATATGCCCGTGAGGCATTAATGGCAATGCATGCGTGAGATTCACCCTGTTCTGCCTTGTTAAATGGTGCGTGAATAGACATTGTGTATTATTTAACATACAAGTGATCTTTTTCAATTATATAATTATCATCTTTGTTAGTTGTCGATGGCTATTCACGACACCTTTATGATATATCAATACGTTGAATATTATCAAGATGATACCGATTATAACAATTTGATATACTGTTTTATTACAAATATATTAATCCTTTCATAATACTCTAGCCACTTTAGTGTAACGTTAACATATTGTGAACTCCTGAATATTATTTGTAAAGCTTCAAGTTTGATTTATTTGATAATATTTGTAAGTTTCGGTATTCTAAACACAGCTTCAAATGTCAACATTCTAGTGAAATATCTCAAAGGAGGAAATCTGTCAAGGATTCAATTTCAGTACTTGACTCGGCCTATGTTGTACCATTCTTTGTTCTTTTCTGCTGGTATGTATTTTGCGACGTGGACAGCTAGATGAATAAGAGATCAAAGAATTATATATACTCTTCACGAAAAGTAGCGGAACCTGAACTTTCAATTTGGATTAGAAGTGTAAGCGTTAACAAACTTTTCAAATACAGACATCTTATGAACGCATCAGCTTTTCTCTCTATCACCACCCCTAAACACAACGCACAAAATGCAGTTGCCCCATACACGTGCATGGGGTGTCATTCGTGATTTTGATGGTTTCAAGAAGGTCAATTTATCACTATAGACCATGCATTTTGACAATCATCTTGCATCACACAGTTGTTAGTATTGTTTCTAGCCGATTTCTCTTGTTTGAAAATGAAAATCGTACACATGCAAATTTCATGTCATATACCAATCATCTTTCAAGAGCGGTTACTGTACAAACAACTATGGTCATAAGGAAGTGCAAGTAGTGATGCACTCTCAAAACATGCATTATTATCATATCAACATCGATTAACTCCGATATATCTCCCATTTTTCAATCGAAAATTAAAAATGAAGTTCCCCTACATTTTTTACCAGTATATGAATATATTACATACAGCGGAGAGCCTTTCCTTTGTGTCTTGTGAGCGAAAAATGTCATTAAGGTCATGTACCCTTAACGTCAAATCCAGCATGAACTTAAAACTTTGTCACAGTTCATTTACATATAATGCCTGTGGCTGTGGTTCGAGCAATCTTCAGAGTGTCAATGCATCTCCTGTATTAGTGTAACCCGTATCCCTTCCAGATTCATCATCAACCAACACTACGCTGATGTCTTGTTGGCGTGTTGTATCGGATACAATTAGGGCAAGATATAATCATCTTTATCCTCGTGTCTTTCCACCTGCCTATGCACAAGCCATTGGAATTCTATCATTGTGCCCTGCCTCATTTCCGCGGATACCCGGTCCACAATAAACTAATCATTGATGCTGAGATAGGTAGCCAAACCAGCACAGTCGTCATCAAGTTTATGGGGATTTGTTACCGGAAGGCATCAGAACACAGAAGAAAGGATCGCTAGAGTCTCTGCCAACAAATCAGGGTTTGGGTAATTAGATTCGCTGGGAAGTGTTGAATGAGGGGGCTTGGATATGAGGAAGGCAGACCATATGCTTCTCTTGCATGTGTCTCTTTATGTCCTTTGTTCTCATAAATACGCGTGTACCAGTGCCCTGTGCCCAGTGGTCAAATTTGTTGGGCGTAGTTACCTCCCTTATGCGTTCCAGGATTCACGCAACGTGTGAGATACTTTATCGACATAATGCATTTAACTTTAGAGAATGTAGGTGTCTCGACACTTTGAACATTACTGCATTTGTATTTCGACGTGACTGTTTAATATGAAAGTAAAGACAAGAGCGAGCGAGTCTAGTTTTACGCCGCACTCAGCAATATTCCAGCTATATGGCGGAGGTCTGTAAAGACAAGAAATGATGGAGATGAACCCTCTGTTACTGACTCCTGCTAGTTACACTTTAACGCAGGCAATGTATGTACATAATAATGTAGCTTATTTGCATACCATTTTGTTTGATACCTTTGGAAGTGGAAGCACAAAAGACCATGGACCATGTGCCTGTATCTTGCCCAAACAATCAACTGTGTCTATACTAGGTATTTGAATGGCATTTACAAGTGATACACATAAGGAGTGAGTGATTGAGTTTAGTTTTACGCTGCACTCAGCAATATTCCAACTATTTGGCGGCGGTCTGTAAATAATCGAGTCTGGACCAGACAATCCAGTGATCAACAGCATGAGCATCGACCTGGGCAATTGGGAACCGATGACATGTGTCAACCAAGTCAGTGAACCTGACCACCCGATCCCGTTAGTCGCCTCTTACGACAAGCATGGGTTACTGAAGATCAATATTCTAACCCGGACCTTCACGGGTGATACACATAAGGAAGAGAGTTTGTATGGATGTCAACATCGTTATTATGAGGAACACAACGTTTCAGAGTATATCCTTACTCCTTCATCAGGTGAATGAAGGAGTAAGGATTTGGCCACTGGGCATTGGGACTGATGAAGGAGTAAGGATATACTCCGAAACGTTGTGTTACTCATAATACAGAAGTTGACAAAAACTCTCTTCCTTATGTGTTTATACTGTCTCGAAATGTCAAGTTAACAAACTATTTCTCCAAATTGTAATATGTTAAGCAAAGTTCTACAAAGAAGCCATCGTAGGGACCTATTAAGAAATGTTGTGTAACTGACAATAATTTGCTTACATATTTTACGCAATATATATCATGCACTGGACATGCTTTGAAAAACTTATTCGTTTCACTATATTGTGCTTCATTGATGTGGACAAGAAGATGTGTTACAGTAATATCCAACTCTTGATCTAAGATTCTCCAATGTTTATTCCTTCCAAGTATGATAGACTGATTCCTTTGAAAATTTGTCATGATACCTCTAATGATGATATTAGCATATTAAAGATCATTGATGATTATCTTTCAGAACTACATACCCAGATGAAAATGACCAATGTAAACGCCGCCAGCATCGTTGTTGTCGTCTTCTTCCTCGTCATCCAGGTCGCAGCGTTAACACTAGATACAGAACAGGCAAGGTACGTTCTCTTGTTTGTTTTCCTGGTAACGGTGTTTAAAGAACATTTAATTCACACATAACAGGCCTCTGTGGAGCTGTGAGTATTTATTTATACAAAATAACGGCACTTCTTTGTGATTATATTTTATGAAACCCTTTAAAATGTTCACACGTTTCAAGTTCGCATTGATTTCCTCATCATTTATAAATTGATGATCTACGGGCATTACGCAGTAAAGCCACCGTTGCCGACGTCAACAATATATACATCGGGGTCACTTGGTCTCTGCCAATGGTTTAGAAGCACCAAAGTACTTTCCGCCTACCATCAATTCGATTGAAAGCATACATGTTGAAAGTTACATGAAGACAGTTTAAAATGTTGGACTTATACTCATATCTCAACTGGCGTTGGATGTTGCGGTTGCGCACTGTCCCCTTCTTGAACTGTCATTGATATCTGACCTTTCTTTCGTCTGTTAAATGACACATAAAACCAACTCGTTACGAAACAATGGTATCTAGGGCAAATAAATGAAATGTATACTTTATACCAAATCACATTTGTCTCAGTGAGCATTTGGTGACACAGGTGTCTTGGACTCCGAAATTTGCCGTGAGGAGTTGCGACCCTTTGGTGCTTCAGAAGCCTGTGATCGCTGGTTTGAATTATTCCCTGTCCACCCTGAGTATGTTTCTAGGTTTGACAGAACAGGCCCATGCCTATTGGTTTCAACCAAGTTTTAAACGTCTTAGACTAGCATCAGCTCGGGCTGCCATCAAAAAGTAGTCGGGGCGGTGGGGTAGCCTAATGGTTAAAGCGTTCGCTCGTCACGCCGAAGACCCAGGTTCGATTCCCCAATGTACAATGTGTAAAACCCATTTCTGGTGTCCTCTGATATTGCTGGAATATTGCTAAAAGCGGCGTAAAGCCATACTCACTCACTCACTCACTCACTCAAAGAGTAGTTTAAGACGAACATTAACTTGTGTCTTCACAATCAGTCCATAATACTAGCGATGGGCATGGCTACTTATACTAAATACTTTTATCTGATAATAAAATATTTGTTACATTTGACCCCTTTCTGAAAGGTATTGTGTGCTGTTACCAGCTTTATACTTTTATCTGATCAATTGAAATTCACGAATTTCAATCACCATAACATCCATAATAAAAAAACTATAGATAAATATATATGCATGAGTCATGTAATTGTAACCCACTCGTTACCCAGCGTATGTTAACAAACATTCCCATGGCATAGGGATGCTTGGCGTGTCCATTCCTTGAGTCCTAAGACAAAAAAACCATGTCTCCCACCACGTACCACGCATAATAGTCACTAAAGCATAAACTCACTGCAAAGACAAATAACTGCCAGAACTTCAAACAGCCCAAGACGTATATTAGCTCTCTTTACCGACGCTCTGATGTAAATGAGACACAGTGATGTAGTCGCCGACAGTTGGAATAGCCATGTCTGACAATGTTAGTCTTGGCGATGTATTTTTCTCGCTCATTGCATTACGCCCCTATTGTGGAGCCCATGGGAACCAATTCTCAGGCTTGAATGGCAGTTTATTTTTCTTCTTCTCACAAAACCCTGCTGTTTTTGGTACGAGGTCATGGAACGGCTATTATAACGTGGAATTTATTGTCCTTCACGAGAATGTTTCCTTGTTGGAGGTTAAAAACGATTAATTTGATATTTCGATCAATCAGATCGCGGTATTAGCTCTCAATGACATCTGGATTGAATAACGGGTTTAATGTGTGTTTGGATACATGACTGACCCCCATTGTCTCATTAGAGGGATATCTTTCTTAAAATTATCTTGTTGTAAACACCGCTTTGGGAATATCACTTTATTTCGATGTTTGACGTGTTGTTTCAAATTGCAGTGGGAAACTCGATACAGGCCGCATCAGACGAAACAAATTGCTTTATTTAGTACCCAACATGTGGGAATCGATCAAGCGTTCTGATACCTCCATTCTGACAATGTTGCAACTTTTTCTCTTAAATTGTCCAGATTACATTTTATCTGATTTTTTGACGTCACATAATTGTGTTTTGTTTCTGTTTTCTTTTTCTTTGTTTTTGTTAGTGACTGTAATTATGTCGCGTTAATTATACCTGATAATGAACAGTGAGTGTCGGATTCACTTTATCCACCTCTAGTCTTTATACAACTATGTCTCAATATATGGCTGAAATATTGCCGAGGTGACGTTAAATTCTAACTCACTCACTCACTCACAACTATGTCTCGGTTAAGCAATAAATGTGCTTTACAGTGTAACCATGTTAGGAATCGAACCTCAACTAACGGAAAAAAGGATCCACCGAGTTATCCATAAGGCTACTATGCGCATTTAAGTGAGCGAGTGAGTGAGTGTGGTCTTACGCCATTTTTGGCAATATTCCGGCAATATCACTGCGGGGGACACCAGAAAATGGACAATTCACATTGTACCCATGTGGGGAATCAAACCCGGGTATTCGGCGTGACGAGCGAACGCTTTAACTACTTTACCCACTAGGTTACCCCACCGCCCTGCGCCTTTAAGGGATACAAATAAATGTATAATGTAAATAATAACTTAAAATTTAACATATTAATTCATAACTTACAAACGGGTGTCTTAGAAAATGTGCTGTAGGTCAAGAAGAAACATAAAACGCATTTTAATCACATTAAATAGTTGGTAAGTTCACAATATCACGACTTAGGTACATATAACAGATCAGCTTTGCGATGATCAAGCTGTTCGCAAGATTAAGAAGACTTTTATTTTGTAGTGATCTGACTACAGTAATTCTTGATGCCCTTGAAGTCTCTTATCGCTAAACCTCACATGTGCGGATCGTGTATTATGTAGTTCAACGTAACAGTATAGTTAACTGCCGCTTAAGTGCGTGACAGCGATCGTCGCTTGTTCTGTTTACGTTGGTTACAGCTCCCCGCCGGGTTATCACGTTGTTAAGAGTTTTTCATTGGGTATCATGATCAGTTGCTGTTAGGAGTTTGTTTATAGACTTAATGTCTGGTAAGGGTCTTCTTTGTGTGTGTTTTACCGAGGTCTCTAAAACGTAGTGTGAGGAGCTTTGAACTTTTAACACTTCGTTTCACATATACGATATGACCATGATCTCATGTGGACATTTGGGAGGTAACCTTGTTATATTTAGCATTTGAAACCTCTCAGTGCGGTTTCAAATTCAATTTTGCATTGTTTCATCTACATATCGCCTATTCCTAAATTCAAAACGCAATATGTTCATTGACGTTTTAATATGTACAATTGATATACGTGAATACCGAATATATCCATTCAACAACGATCGGTTGTTTAGGCAAAACAGGCATTGGAGGTGCGTATCACTGTTGATTCAAGTGGAGTAATAATGTATTTATAATATAACATTTAGCCAATGCTGTAGAGAAGGCCTTTTTGAACTCGTCGCACTGTTAAACGTCATTAGATGATATTATGTGTCATGTCAAGATGGATGGGTTATGAAGCGTGTTTTTTCAGACATGAACGCATTTCTAATGTAAATGTATAAATATTAGCCGCTGAATACGTTGTCACTTGCCCCATAAATGACAAATAATGCATCATTTGCCATTTTAATGAGTTCTACTTAGTATTAAAATACAATATATTGAGATCAACATACTATAAATGTAATCATATCCATGAATATTCAATATCAGGGTGTAGTCCTGATTGACTTGATCTTTACGACAGCTGTTGGAAATATCGCGATCATGAAATATGCCCGAGTGAGTGAGTGAGTTTAGTTTTATCCTGCTTTTAGCAATATTTCAGCAATATCACGGCGGGGGACACCAGACTTGGGCTTCACACATTGTACGCAAGTGGGGAATCGAACCCGGGTCTTTGGCGTGACGAGCGAACACTTTAACCACTAGGCTACCCCGCCGCCCCAAATATGCCTGAGTAATTCCGATACTGTATAATGTCAGCAACATTCATTCTCAATGCCATTGTCCTTTCAATTTAGAACGTGTCTGCTTGTGTCATGCCCGGCAGATACCTAGATCTACTAGACCGCCTCCGTGGTGTAGTGGTTAGAGCGTCCGCCCGGAGAGCGGAAGGTCGCGGGTTCGATCCCCGACCGCGTCATACCAAAAGACGTTAAACTATGGTACTTGTTGGTCCCTGCCTGGCGCTCGGCATTAATGAGTACAACAAGGACTGGTCGGCTCGGAGTCAGTATAATGTGTCTAAGTGGGTATTCATGCTTCACTGCGGCATGGTGTCTCAGTGGGCTAGCACTTCAAAACCAGCTTAAGTCTGGGCTAGTACAATTAGCCGCACATACACACGCGTGCACGTCGTCATATGAGCGAAATATTGTCAACTACGACGTAAAACCCAATTTCACCTCACCTCACCTCACCTCACCTCACCTCACCTAGATCTGTTACTTGGTAGTAGTGAGTGTGTGAGTGAGTTTAGTGTTACGTCGCTTTTAGCAATATTCCAACAATACCGAGGCAGGGGACACCAAAAATGGACTCCACACATTGTACCTTTGTGGGGGAATCGAACTTTGGGTGGGACGAGCGAACGCTTTAACCACTAGGCTATCTCATCGCCCCCGTTGGCAGTAGAGTAGTGTAACATATGCAGTAAACCTATATGGCAACCTGTGTTCATTCCATCAACAGCTGAACTAACATAGGTATCATTTCCTCCCCTACTTTCATTTTCATCTGTGTATACTGTTTCAACCCTGTCTTAAGGTGATGAAAAAATCTATTCATTTCTTTCCATACTTTCATCAGTTGAATCAACAATTGTAAATAGCTCTTCATACTTACCTACATGTACACTTCAACGTACACGCGTATCCTTACCCGTGTGTATTCAAGTGAACCTGCATTCATATATCTCTTCATGCATCTATAAGTGAACCTGCATTCATATACCTATTCATGCATATTTAAGTAAACCTGCATTCATATACCTATTCATGCATATTTAAGTAAACCTGCATTCATATACCTATTCATGCGTATATAAGTGAAACTGCATTCATATATCTCTTCATGCATATTTAAGTAAACCTGCATTCATATACCTATTCATGCGTATATAAGTGAAACTGCATACATATATCTCTTCATGCATATTTAAGTAAACCTGCATTCATATATCTCTTCATGCATATTAAAGTAAACCTGCATTCATATATCTCTTCATGCATATTTAAGTAAACTTGCATTCATATATCTCTTCATGCATGTTTAAGTAAACCTGTATTCATATATCTCTTCATGCATATTTAAGTAAATCTGCATTCATATATCTCTTCATGCATATTTAAGTAAAACTGCAGTCATATATCTCTTCATGCATGTTTAAGTAAACTTGCATTCATATATCTCTTCATGCATATTTAAGTAAACCTGTATTCATATATCTCTTCATGCATATTTAAGTAAACCTGCATTCATATACCTATTTATGCATATTTAAGTAAACCTGCATTCATATATCTCTTCATGCATGTTTAAGTAAACCTGCATTCATATATCTCTTCATGCATATTTAAGTAAACCTGCATTCATATATCTCTTCATGCATATTTAAGTAAACCTGCATTCATATATCTCTTCATGCATATTTAAGTAAACCTGCATTCATATACCTATTTATGCACATTAAGGTGAACCTACACGGGTTTTGTCGTTTCTTTACCAAATTCAGTTGAATTTACATAGTGAAATCTTGCCATCCTTACCTTCAGTTATACGATGTGTGGTTACCGTACATGTATCTTCATGCGCTGTGGTTGTATCTATATGCTTGTCTATATACCATGTCATGCTGACCTTTGGTTGAAGCAAGTGATACTGTGTTAACTCATATAGTACCTTAAGTTTTATCACAATACGTATACACGTCCTTCCCGGCTTTCAGGTATATACTTGGTGAAACGTATAATTCCATTTACCTTCACTATAACATAGGTGAACCTGTTCATGTGTACCTAAATTTGAACCTCCTGGCGTACCTGCTCAGGTTTATCTTCATTCAAACCACGTGGTTGCACATGTTCATATCGTCCCACCTTGATTTCATGTATGCCTTCATTTGAACCCTAAAGTTGTTCCGGTTCATGTCTACCTTCATTTGAATCACATCAGAGTAACTATTCGTGTCTTTCTTCATTTGAACTACCTTAGAGTAAGTGTAAGTATTACATACCCGTTAAAGATATCACTGTTTAATAATTTTACAATTTTATTGCACATTATGTAATAACATCGCGTGATGCAGTGCGTATGACGTCAAAGTGGTTTACAGTTATGTGTTCACAACGCTAATACCTCTGTCACAAAACTATTAGACCTTGCACGATTTGCGGAAAGCTGAGAGTCATCACACTCGTTGATTTCTTAGGAAAGAAGTACTTTGCTCGATATTATTTTGCTAATGTTGGGTGAACAATACATAAAATATTAAACTATGTCCCGTATAATACCATACTTATGAAACTCGTGAATGGTATTGGTATCTAAATCGTATCTTACATATATCTGTTCGTGTCTACCTTTATTTGAACCACCTCAGAGTAACTGCTCATATCTACCTTCATTTGAACCACCTCATAGTAACTGTTCATGTCTACCTTCATTTGAACCCACCTCAGAGTAACTGTTCATGTCTACCTTCATTTGAACCCACCTCAGAGTAACTGTTCATATCTACCTTCATTTGAACAACCTCAGAGTAACTGTTCATATCTACCTTTATTTGAACAACCTCAGAGTGTCTGCTCATGTCTACCTTCATTTGAACCACCTCAGAGTATATGTTCGTGTCTTCCTTCATTTGAACCACCTCAGAGTATCTGTTTATGTCTTACTTCATTTGAACCATCTCAGAGAAAGTGTTCATGTCTATCTTTACTTGAACTTAAAGTTGTCTTGTTCATATCTACCTTCACTTGAACCTGAAGTTGTGTTGTTCATATCTACCTTCATTTCAACCCTAAAGTTGTTTTGTTCATATCTACCTTCATTTCAACCCTAAAGTTGTTTTGTTCATATCTACCTTCACTTTAACCACATGGGTGTGCATGTGGTATCATCCATAACTCCATCTGGTTTAGCTGATGTTCAGGCATGATTCCTGATGGTTGTTACTAACTTGGAGATAAACGGTCGCGATCTAAGTAGGCGACAGAGGTCTGCTTCCTATACTACAGTATTAATCCTATGGGAACAGCTGTCAGACCTCATTAGACCTTCGAGTCATTCAGTACGGGTGTAGATTTTAATCCATCAATAGGATACATTTGTAGGAAGGCCTTCGTATAGGACTAAATATACGATAGGAACGTGTAAAACTGTAAAGCATGCAAGTATTACAAAAGACGACGTTCCTGTATGTACACGGTATTGGACGCTATTCGATCTGGAACAGAGGACCTCTTTATTCGGGGAAAGTTATGTCTGGTGGGCTTGAATATCATATCTCGACTCCCGCCTCACATTCAGAAAAGTGAATTGGAAATCGTCGGATATATGTTACTAGGTACGCCTTATGCAGTATGGTTTGGATGTCATATGAGTTAAAAGTGGTGATTTGCATTTGAATCAAATAAAATTTACATAACTGCAATGTTTCCACCTTTTATGAGTAGCTTATGAGGGTATGTTTCAATGGAATGTCTATATTTCTTTACCGAGGAATGCACTGGGCCGATATAGGAGAGTGGAGGATGTCTGCTATTTCTTATCCATGAATAACTGCGTGTCGTGTGATCATCTGTTCTATAAGATTGTCCCTAGGTATAATAGGTACATCCTTTATCCCTTTAAAGATGTAATGTTCGGGCAGCTGCATATACTCAACAATAAACGCCATGCAAATGAAACTGGGACTTCATATTGTGGGCCCATATATTCGTCGAGAGTGACGACAGCCTCAGGTATTTTAGGAAGATTAATGTGAACGTTCATTTGTAATTTCGGGCTACTACTGATAGTTCATCTGGTCCAAAGAATTCTACAATTGTCCTTTTTCACGCCCCCCTCTACGTATTCAGGTCATACATGGATGGACCTCGGAGTCAAACCCAGAAGCATAGTGAGGACGGTAAAAACTTCGGGCCACAGAATCATGTTGCTTCTGATCCTGTGCAAATGATGGGCATCCACTGACAAGGTGTTGGACTACATTACAATTTGAAGTAAAATCACACTTTGACAGTTTCGAGTGAGAAGTGACGGGTCTTGGGTCCCGATCCACAAAGCGATCGTAGCGCTACGACATTCGTAAGCCTATGGTTAACTATAGAATCACGAGAGGTCGTAACTTTACGAACGCTTTGTGGATCGGGAACCTGATCAGCAAAGCCTTTTGTTTCCCTTTTAAGTCCGTGTGAATGACTCTGCGCGGCTACTCTTCTTCTGAAAATACTGCACAAAAAAATCCAACATTGGCTCGTAACGAAAACGGCGGATTTCTTTGTTTTCATCATGTTTTGACATACTTCACAATAAAATTCTGTCATGAAGAGCCTCCACGTAAATCAAACCACGCCCTCCCTTTAAAATTGATAATGCGCCATTCCTGTTCAAAGCACACAGATATGAACTGATTTTTTACTTATTCCACCGGGTACCCATTTTCTGCTGGCTGTACAGAGGCAATTTGGAACAAACTCACTTGCCTAAGGTGAGACCACGTGTATCAGATGTGCAGGACTGAAGTCCTAGAAACTCTCAGGAGTCAAGCTGCCAAACACGGTCACCGATCCAAAATCTCTCCGTGCTGATTTGTGACCTGAGCTCTATGCACAGGACCGCACTCCAACACATACAATGATACCTGCAGTTTTGTTGTTTTTGTTGTTCTTCTTATTATTATTGTTCTTGTTCTTTTGTTGTTACAGCCAGCTTCAGAAACGAGACACGTCCAAATTAGACATGAGTGCGTTACGGACAGCTCTGGATGGGATGGACACAGACCTACAGAGCAAACAGTAGGTACACAGTAAATATGAAGTCCTTGCATATTCATATCACCCCTTGGTGCAACATGCATATTCATTAAACCAACGTGTAAAGGAATAATGCATACACATCAAAATATGATTCACAGCAGTATTTGAAGTAAGACTGAATAGAATGAGTGAATATTCCAGCTCGTGGTTTTAGTGATAACGAGCCCTTTAAAGGCTGGTTTGTGTTGATATGAATCGAAGGCCGAATATGCTTCCACCAGTCTTTAGGCTGAGATGTGTTGTTCCATGTTTGGGGGGAAACAGGCGCTTGATTAAAAACAACCTTCGGAGGAAGAGCCTCAAATCTTTCATTCACAGGGGATGTAAATCTGTTCTTTCAATACTCGGCATTGCGGAAACGTACGTGCAGTCTCAAATCTATTTAAAAAGTTATTGGAATGTTAAATCAGCATATGGACCAAACTTCACTAATTGATAGTGATTCATAAGCACATCCTTATGATGTAGTCGGAATTATGCAACCGACGGGTTTTCAGCAGATATTCTAGTGATTGTGGAAATGGTTTAGTCGCTTCTGTTCACCGATCTGATGATGTAGTGCCAATAACAGAGGTTGTAGTCGTGTTGTATTGATCTCCGGAATGCAGTAATATGATCTTTAGGAATACGACCAGTTCTCGAGTGAGTGAGTAAATTTAGTTTTACGCCGCTTTTAGAAATATTCCAGCAATATCACGGCGGGGGACACCAGAAATGGGCTTCACACATTGTATCCATGTGGTGAATCGAACCCGGGCCTCTGGCGTGACGAGCGAACGGTTTAACCACTAGGCTACCCCACCGCCCCTCCAGTTTTCAAGAGATCTCATGGTCTTATGTAACAGATATATCATGCCTACTGAACGAAGCTTACGTTGAATCGGATGGCATGGCTGATTGTGTTACCGTACCCACACGATGTGTGATGTTCTTCTTAACATCAACCATTGGTTTGTCTGGACCAGCCTCGATTACTCACAGGTCGATGTCATATTGATTGTTATTGCTCATAACAGCTGCTGTCTCATCGTAATGAACACAACTTATATCGAGGGGGACAGTGACTGGTCGGACTGAATGTCTTTGAGTTTCCCGACGATTCATGCCGTCAGCCACTCGTTTGGCTGGTCCAAATTACAAACAGAAAAATCTTAATGAAAAGACTTGTGAGCATAAAAATAGAGGTGAGACTGTACAGCTTTTCTTGCAAAGTTCAAAGAAAACATGGCTTCGTAAGCATAATGTTTATCTTTTCGAATATATTTGTTTAAAGCCACCTTATATGTTTTCTATCTGAAGACTTTCGCCGAAGTAATTCTTCACCAGGGAGTTGCTTACGCCATTTTGAACAGTCTTCTAATAGTTCTAATTGCAAGTCTGCGTAATGTAAGTGAGTAAATATTGCTTCACGCTGCGTCAGCAATTTTGCAGCTCTTCGCGGCGACTGCGTAGTGTAGGAAAGAGTTCCAAAGTGGTGTAGTTTGAATTCAAGCCCACAGTTGAACTGCCTCTGCGAGATAAATACGAGCGACTACGATTCCAACTCTGTAATGACTAGGGCTGCGCGATATAACCGATTTACCGGTATTTACCGGTTCAGACATGAAAACGATACGTATTGCAATATGCTGTTCGAAAACCGGTACTTTGACATGCATTCAGAAAACTTCGTAACACTTGGAAATCTTCCGATATTTCCGTTTTTCACATAGAAAGTCAAAATCAGTTCGGTTTGAAGTTGTGTTCTTAACTTTTGTTCAAGTGTTTCGCATTGTTGTTTTTTTATCTGAATGTTTTAAATATTTACTCATTAATGATCAGTGATCTCTGTTATGTCCTTTTCCTTGTTTCGTTTGTGCCAAATATTATTTTCATTTTAATTTTGCCATGATTAAAAGTTTTTATTAAAGCTTAATCAAGCATTGTGATCTAGTGTTTTTGCTTTATAAATCAAACATTAACTTAACTTCTTGTTTAAAAAACCTTTTTGCAATATATTGCAATACATATCGCAATATATGCTGTCGCATCGCAATATATCGCAATATGAAAATTCTCTGCAATACCTACCTCTAGTAATGAGCATGTGTTTATGAATTACTATATTAAAAATAGTGATGACACCAGGGGTTCGAGAAAAGGTGAGCGGATCCTGCCCCACCTGTGAAACACAACCTTACACCAACGTCGATAAGCTGTCGATGAGTTGGGCGGTTTTCATTGTAACTGTTTTAGATTATGAAGTACGCGTTCTTTTCTTGCAGGAAGCGCACGTGTGCAATAGGCATCAACAGCCACCACTGCGCCCTCGCCAGCATGGACGACCGCATGCTGTCTCGTGAGTGGCTTAACAACGGCTACAGCCCTGGCAAGAGGAACGGTGGAGCCATTACTCCCGCCATGCACAGCGAGGCCGAGCGGTGGGTGCATTATATGCCCTTGTTTACTGTATATATATGGTTTGTTTGTTTGTTTGTTTGTTTGTTTGTTTGTTTAACGGATCACTTAGCAGTCTGTAAACAATCGAGAGTCTGGACCAAACAATCTAGTGATCAACATCATGAGCATCAATTGGGATTGGGATACGATGGCATGTGTCAGCCAAGTCCACCCGATCCCGTTAGTCGCCTCTAACAAGCATGGTAATGCTGACTGCCAATACTTATCCAGATCTTCACGGGTAGGTTACATACGTTTTTGGTTGGTTGGTTGGTTTGTTGTTTAACGCTGCACTCAGCAATATTTCAGCTATATGACGGCGGTCTGTAAATAATCGAGTCTGGACCAGACAATCCAGTGATCAACAGCATGAGCATTGATGTGCACAATTGGGATGCGATGACATGTGTCAATCATGTCATCGAGCCTGACCACCCGATCCCGTTAGTCTCCTCTTACGACAAGCATTGGTTACTGAAGATCAATTCCAACCCGGATGTTTACGGGTAGTGTGTGTGTGTGTGTGTGTGTGTGAGAGAGAGAGAGAGAGAGAGAGAGAGAGAGAGAGAGAGAGAGAGAGAGCACACATCTACACGCGCAAACTACACATATGCGCACACACAACACTCACAGGCACACACGCAGGCGCACACACATTGATTCACACACACGCACCGAAACACCCATACGTCCACACACATACGCACGCACAATCTTTACCACGACATTCAATCCCATTTCGCCTCACTTCATCTCCCAGTGGTAATAGTCTTCCACGTCTGTGGCGAATAAAAACGTCAATTGCCAGTCGTGATTCTTAAGTCTCAATAAATAATCATCTTGTAGCCGGAGATTGTGTCCTGTTTAGTACCTGCTCTTCAGAAAACAGGACGCCTGCAATTAAACATGAAAATGTGTGGTTAGTTCTTTTAGGCCGAGTAATGTTTTGCAGCAAACCTTTAAATAAACTGAAAACTATCGATTTTTCCCATTTTATGAAAACCATTGTCCAGAAGTAAAGTTTTGTGATAATTGATCGGCTTGAGACTTAAACCTCAGACAGGAAGGTGTGTGTTTGTGTGTCGTGACCAAACACCGTAGCCCTATTATGAAATGAAATATTTCCAAATATGGAAGTTGTGGAAAGAATTAGTGGTGTCCTGCCATTAGAGACTTCTGGAAAGGTCGGGTTCAGAACGCTGTCACGGTAAATCCGATGAACTAGTTATTTACGTTACATGTTACGTCATAAAGGTGTTACGTTTTGTATCGTCAAGTTTTAGATGCCTTTGTTACATGAACATCCTTTTTGGTCCGAGTTCTAAAGAAGGATAGGATATATATGAACGGGTCAATCTTCAAGTTGTTTCTGTCAGGTCAGACCTATGCACAGATATAGCTTTGGTTTTGGTATTTGTTACAACCGCAATATAACAGCTATATTACAGTGCTGGGTAAATATTCGAGTCTGGACCAGATAACCTGGTGACTGAGATCATTAGCATCGATCTAAGGCAATTGGGATGGCATGTATCAACCGAGTCTGCAAGTCTGACAACCCGATTGTTTGTTTTGGTGTTTAACACCACACTCAGCAATATTCCAGCTATATGGGGCAGTCTGTAGAAAATCAAATCTGGACCAGACAATCCAGAGATCAACAGCATGAGCATCGATCTACGCAATTGGGATACGATGACATGTATCAACCAAGTAAGCAAGTCTGACCACCCGATCCCATTAGTTGCCTTACGAGAAGCGCCGGATTCTGAGATCGAATTCTAACCGGATCTTCACGAATGGCACTGATATATTCCCGAGACGTTACGTAATTGTGGACAATTTCATGTGTTTGTTTTTTGTATCTACATGCTGTAGAGCCATTGTCGGAAGTACCTACCACACATTGTACCATGTACAGCGTCCTGTGAACATTGGCTGACACGTATTTAACAGCTGTAAACTTTAAGCTGCTTATCTGTATATAATATACACATTGTATATCATTTGGTGTATGATGACCTTTGATATCGCCCGATGAACATAGCGTATATATGCGTCTGTATATATGCATGTATATCTTACGTCAAATACACTTTACTCGATGTGTGTTTAATTTACAGAATTTCACACGTGTCTGTAAAACTAATCTGATGTCTGTCTGATATACATCGCCCAACGTATGTCTCTCACACACCATATCAACATATCCTGAAACATTCTTCGTCTATCGCATGTCTGATGTATGTTGAATAAGGATTTCGTAATTTTTGTTATTTGATATACAGTCTCTGGTATACATTGCATAGTGTCCGCATGATATACAAATGTGACTGATATACATTGCATAGTGTCCGCATGATATACAAATGTGACTGATATACATTGCATAGTGTCCGCATGACATACAAATGTGACTGATATACATTGCATAGTGACCGCATGATATACAAATGTGACTGATATACATTGCATAGTGTCCGCATGATATACAAATGTGACTGATATACATTGCATAGTGTCCGCATGATATACAAATGTGACTGATATACATTGCATAGTGTCCGCATGATATATAAATGTGACTGATATACATTGCATAGTGTCCGCATGATATACAAATGTGACTGATATACATTGCATAGTGTCCGCATGATATACAAATGTGACTGATATACATTGCATAGTGTCCGCATGATATACAAATGTGACTGACATACATTGCATAGTGTCCGCATGATATATAAATGTGACTGATATACATTGCCCGACTCGTGTATCATATGCCATGTATTCATTGTCATATGTTTCACATAAAATGGAGAGCAGAAAAAAAAACTTCCATTGCACCTGCCGGTGTTAATATCGAGGGTATATTCCAACGTTATATGATTATATATAACACCATTAATGTAATATACTATGCATAATTGATTAAACAGCCCTTGAGTTGAGTTCATGTAATGACACAACATATAGCTGTCATCATTTATGAATTACAAAATTTCCTGAATGTTCATACGTTCAACGTGATGAAAATATAGCGAAAAAAGTAGGGTTAAAGCACATAGAAATGTGCAAATATATAAGTTCTTTACACAAAAAAATATTATGTTTCTCAGTTTAGAAATATTGGATTCAATCTTGAAAAACACACGCCATTATGTTGTATTTGTATTCAAAAGGGGCTTTTCTGAATAAAACGTTGGAAAAATAAACAAATGATAGCCAGAATGTTACAGTTATATTACTTATGTCATCATGTACACGTAAATGCACATATCAACTTAAGATCTCAAATAATCCAGGTAATTTGGTTGCTTGCATATGAAGTGTTCTCGCAAGTTTCAATTCATTCTAAGTATCCACACCGTGATATAGGTGAAATATTGTTAGCAGTGTTGTAAAACTCACTCACTCACTCACTCACTCACTCACTATCAAGTAGTCCGTCATAACCCAGCATTCTCTCCCTTTAGCACTGACTTCATCACAGAAAGAAGTAAACCTATTTATACGTAGTTGTGGGCGGTGATGCTCTTCTATCTCATTTAATTGCGGATGGCTCACCTGTCACAGACGGAACAGAATTTTCATTGATATGAATTTGAAACATACCAGATAGCTTCTGTCCAGGTCGGTGATTACATATTCACAGGCAGACTCGATATGATGCTCGGTTTGCCGAAAGGAAGCATAACATTAGGCAAAACCTCAGATCAATTTACAGTAGTCTATCTTGACATAATGACAGTTCGTTGCTGAAGTCAGCAGTCTCGGTTCGCGACTATTAACCTTTTTCACAGAAATATTTTATCTGCAATATCATTACCATTGATTTTCTTATTGGGGACTCTGTTGCAAGAACATGGCCCAATAGCCACTGTCTGTGCATTTACGAATATACCTAGGTGGGCATTATGCAAACGTTTTTCAGTTTCTTGAAGGATAATTTGGTTTGTGTGAAATTACAAGAAGATGCTGAAGACTGTTTTTTGCACCTGAAGAAGACTTTTTGAAAGGACTTTTATCTTTTGAAAAGAAGAGGAAACTTTGACAGTGTCCCTTCATGTCTTGTAAACTGTGTACTTGTTGGTCTTCGTCTGGAAACATATTACAGGAACAAAGGAATTGAACAAATGATGCTTGGACCATGAGATCAGATCAGTTCAGTGTGTGTTGCGTCAAGGGATACATACTATCCTTTGTGTATTATTAGCCAGGAATATTTACTGTGTGGCTGCAGAGTACAAATCGCTATTTATTTTCATCGTGAATGTCCAATTTAGCTCGCTTATTCCAATGATGTATATACATGTATGTTGTGACTCCCAATGGTACTACGTAGACCGTTGATGGAGCGATAGTAATAGTTATCTGGTATGGTGGGTTTATTGTGTGACTTCGGACGTGAATGCCATTCAATGTTTTCTACATAGTCGAAGATGTGTAAATAAACGTGCTTATGTTTGTGTAGTGACTTATGCTAAAGAAAGGCGAGAAACAACTGACTGACTGACTGAGTTTGGTTTTACGCCGCTTTTAGCAATATTCCAGCAACATCACGGCGGGGGACACCAGAAATGGGCTTCACACAATGTACCCATGTGGGGATTCGAACCCGGGTCTTTGGCGTGACGAGCCAACGCTTTAACCACTAGCCTACCCCATTGCCCCGGTGAGAAACAAATACACAGATGACAGCTAAACATCTTGCAGTTAAACATCTTGTACAAAGGTTTTCAGCATAAAGTGAAGGAATATATGTGCATGAGTAGGTATATATGTGCTGGATTATTGATCATGATTGGCCTACGTTCCTAATTATAAGAAGACCAGTATCTTGCCTTTCGAAAACACCGTTACATTCAGTTGGTCTTTGGGTATCCTTGAAAATGTATTCTGGGTTCCAATATTTTTCCTTCCTCATTTCAAACCTAAAGATGTATGTCTTAAAGCTTTGATGATGTAATTTACTTCTTATTTCATAAGAAATTAAACCGTTGAACTCTCTCTAATAAAAGTCTTCTGATATTTGGGCAATGTAATGACGAGCAAAGGGTTTTCTTCTCACTTTTGAATATCAATTCATGTCAAAGCATCTTAGAATTTGATGTACAATTTGCAGTCAAACACATTGTGTCGAAGTTGAAGGGACTTCGGGATATCCGAGATTCGATACAACCGAGCACTAAATATGGAACCCCGCCTTTACTACAAGACACCCGTATGTTCGTCACAACAGTGTTTCACTGTACTTGTAAATCAGAATAAATACAGCGAGTGAGTATGGTTTTACGCCGCTTTCAGCAATATTCCAGCAATATCACGGCAGGGGACACCAGAAATTGGCTTCACACATTGTACCCTTGTGGGTAATCGAACCCGGGTACGAGTTGACGCTTTTACCACAAGGCTACCTCACCGCCCCCAGAGTTGTATGTTTCTTTTTAGTATACAAACCTTGTCCTGGAGCTTTATCATTGATAAGGATATTTAGTCTCAAAAGGGACTTTCTGATTACGCACATCATTTACGTTAACGTGAACGACGTGAAATTAGTACGATGTTGGCGTATCACATATATCTGCTACGATCACAGGTGCTCCGTCTGGAGGAAGTCTTGCAACTCCTGTCTGACCCCACTAGCGGAGGTCACAAACTCGCTTCTCAATCGACTCTGTAGACTCACTAATTAATTGCTGTATCGGCGTTGTCCTGATGCCAGTTCCGAGCTACTAACACGATTACCCTAGCAAATTAAGTGTTGGCTTGCTTGATTCCGACTTGATATTGTTGTCTTCCGCTGTGATTAGACTAGCCTTTAGCGCTGGTGGCCCGCTTAACAATACCATACACTGGGGTAATCAGCAACGATGGACAAAGAAGATGTTCATTAATGGCGCATCTGGAACCAGTGTAGATCCCTATTCAAAGACTCAGTATTGGTTATAAAACGTTTTCCTTTGAAGATGTTAGTTAACATAGTTATATTCAGTTTCATGTTAGATTATGCCCGTAATTTTATATTAGGATGAATGGAATTATCAGCATCTCAGACCGGGGGGGCTGGAGTGCAATAAGGGCATTGACCCCCTAAACACCCGGTGTTGACTGACGTTCGTATATCATAGCATCCAGTTATGAATGGGTTACAGGCACTGTTTTCAAACACGTTACTGTTTCAAACAACGACAACGGACCTAATATGCATGATATATATGTCGTCATGCCAAAATAAACATGCCTTCTCAATCATATTGTCTATCCACTTCGTGTGCGTAGGACACGTGACAAAAAAATATCTAAAAGTATTTAACCAAAGAATCGAATCGAGTACATTTACTGACTATCGTTGTATTTTGTTAAAACCTTGTTAAACAGGTCCAATGAAATATGTTGATCATAAACATCACCACTGACTTGGATCATTACACTGCATCATTTACAGCATCATACTCTTCCGGTCTTACTGTTCCATTAAACGCAAGTTGACCTTCATTCCGGTTTGACGAATTTCATGTTTTGATGAAATATATTGATCATGTGAATTGAATGAAAATGTTCGATCTTTTTCATTTTTATTGACCTTTTTTCAGTGAGCTGGAGGAGATTTCCCTCAAACGCCAAGCTATAGCAACACTCAAGTACCTTCTCCTCAAGATTAAACAGAATGAAATCCAGCCACCCCCGAGGTGAGATTATTTAGACCTTCTCCAATGGTCTCTTGGCTATAATTGACTGCATTAAGAACCCCACCGACTGTCGAAGGCAGCCCCATTTTATTGTAAGGTCTTAATTTTCTTAAATATATTTTTAATAGTTTTAGTTCCAGCGTGGGTGAATCTTGTTTTACCGCTCACGACGGACAGTAAATATACGAGTCTTGGATAACAACAGAGACAGAAAGCATTGTCAAAGATGAACGAAATGGCGGCACAATGAACCGTGTCGGACCATACGGTCTCTTATACAGCATGCTCCTCCAGGAATGGTGTCTCTAGGGTTCCCCATGTGGCTGTGGTACAAGACCTTTACCATGAACAGACTTGAAGTGTTCTTGGCTATATTTGTCTTGTCATGAAACTCAAGGGATGCAGTTCACTAGTCAAATGTATTAATTGATCTTATAGAATTGTATTCTAACAAGGCCGCACTCCAATAAGTGCGGTGTGGTTGTCGGTACAAATGGTATTGTTAGACGAGATTGAAATGAACAATTAATGCTTTCGGTTTCAAAATGTCATTAATTCTTATACAAGGCTATTAAAATGTAATATTCAATTTAGAGACTCAAAATGAAAATTGTGTGTTTCGCTAACGACATTAGTAACGGTTCTTGAGAGGCATACCGTAATAATGACAGTACTGTAATAATGACGTTAAAATGCTCTTTCACAGAAATGTAGACATTAGTGAATTAATAAACAATTTTTTTAAATGGTAATAGTTTGTATCGTTGGAAAAGGTACAATTGGATACAAGATACAGAAAATGTTAAAATCATTTATTATATTTCTGTACAATAAATGGCCATAAATGTATGTTTCTGACACTGAAATACAACATCGCCTCCTAATCTGAAAATGTAAAGGTGTGTTAAAAACTTTCGATAAATTATTGTTATATTTCTGTACAATAAATTACCATACATGTATGTTCCTGACATCGGAATGCTACCCCGCCTCCTAATCTGAAACTGTAGAACTAATCAAGAAGGTTTCAATACACACATTAACAAAACATTTAATACGTAAATGTTGAAATAGGAGATTTATCGACAAAATGTATTGCAGTGCATGTGGTATTGTCAGCTTTGTATCACGGCCTGAGGAACAACTACTTTATTCTGAGAATAGCCCATAAATTACTGATCCCAAGCATGTGTTCTGAGTGTATCAATGGCGTATAGAATCTGGCAACACAATTATCGGAAAATGAATACAGACATACGAAATGTTAACACTACAAAGTAATTCACTGAAATCAACATCTTTAGACTTTAGACTGTTTATTGTCAGCATTTGACTTAATGCTAATACCTATTTTGACCTATGGTGCAGAAGTCTGGTCTTTTGAAAACCTTGAAATATTGGAGAAAATTAGGACTCATTACAGGATTAAGAAATTCACCCCCTCGTTGTGTTATGCTGTATGGAGAACTAGGAAGATTCCCTATTAGACTTATGCCTATAAACTTTTGGCACAAGTCAACTTACCAAAGTGTTTATAAGCTTACCAACTTAATTTACAATTATTTATCACTTCAAAGAACAATAAATAAAAAAGATAATCCCTGGCTCTCGCACGTTAAAAATATATTAGACAATACTGGACTCTCGTATGTTTTTTGACAATCCCTTAATTTGTACAATCCAGTTGCAGGTCTCAAAAGTTGAACATATTCTGAAAGATAAATTTATCCAAAACTGGCACAATGACATTATTTCTAGTCCCAAAGGAATTTACTATCATCACCTGAAGCCATTTCCTAATTATGATCCATATCTCCTCCTTCCAAAACGTATGTCTTTACAATTATAGAGATTTAGAACATGTAACCATAGTTTACCTATTGAGACGGGTCGCTGGTATTATATTTCAAGGGAAGAGAGAACGTGTCAACTATGCACTTCTATAAGCATCGCAGATGAATATCATTATATTTTTCATTGCAAAGCACCAGATACTTTGAGGAAACAATATTTACCCAACCACTAAACTCTTTTCCCAATAAAACAAAGTTTACGAAAATATTATCTGCAAAAACATCTCGAGACAAATAAATTTATCAAAATATACCCTACATCTACCATCTCCTGTCAGGAAAAAATGTTAATAAGTTGTTTTCTGCTATCTTGAATTTGAAATATATTTGTATATATGTTTACAATATATGCTCTTGTACCACCAAGGTAGTTTATGAGAATAAAGAATTGAATATTGAGTTCATTAATGGGATATGGAATCTGACAGGACAATGATCGAAACATGAAGACAGACATACGAAATGTCAAGGCTACAAAATAATTCACTGAAATCAGCCTCTTGTTCAGGCTATGTAACGGGATCTGTTGATGACGTATTATAATAGCTTGACATTCACTGATGACGTCATCCGACGTCAAATGAAAAAAGAGGTTGATTATTGTATTTCATTCTTTTGGCGATACCAATTGAGTGGGAAGACTGTACAGGTGTTAGTTTGAACGTTTCTCTACACAGATTTTAACATTTTCGTACCATTAATGGACCAACATCATTTCATGCAGTAGAAACGACTGTATATTAATAATTCAAAATCTGTGCTTCAGATATATTCTATGCTACATATCATATAAGCTTACCAGTATAACCAGCGTTGCTGAAGAAATTAAATTAAATCTTTTCTTCTAAGGAAACACTACCTACATTAAGTGGAAATAAGTCTGGATAATCGTTTTGGGTTGACAAACTACAAGGCCCATGAGTTTATTTAAAAGTATTTTCAGATTCCATTTTAACAGCATGATGTCTTTCCAGACATTGATTTATGAAACGTAAATGTATTTCTTATGGACGTGGAAACAATGGATTTTGTCGCTTCTATTTATCAATAATTAAGAATTAGACGAGGTGGTTGGTGATGCAGATTTGAAGATGTAAACTCAGTTTTATTATTACTTCAGAAACAATGCTTGTATGAATGCATAAATCCTAAACTGCTCTTTCCAGAAATTTAAAATGTTGACGTCTTTACCAAACTCTAACATTACTACTAATTTAAGAAAATATTTTCACTATGCAAGCATGGAACAAATGCATGTTTAGCCGTAAATTTGACTGCACATAGCGTTTGAGCATAAAGGCTTGAGTGAGCTAGCTAAAATATATGTTCTCCTATTTCAGCCATATCGTGCCTCCATGAAGGCTTATGGGCTGAAAGGAGTGAAAATACACATTTACTATCGTTGTTTCCATGACAACATGACAATGCCCTGTGTTGCAGGAAGAGATCGTGCAGTCTACGACTAGGAGGTCTGTGCTTGACCGAGTCGCTGGACCGCGCAGCTAGCCAGTACTATTACCTACGTAGTCCTCACAGCCCAGGTCGGCGGCGACGTGATCTGCAGAGCCACCTCAACAAGCCTTAAAACAGTCTCAGTGAGTACAGTTTAGCCCATGAGTGGGTGAGGGAGTATGGTTTTACGCCGCTTTTGGCAATATTCAAGCAATAGTTTCACGAAATCGTGTTAAACCTTTGTACTTAGTAAGACCAGAAATGGGCTTCACACATTGTACCCATGTGGGGAATCGAACACGTGTCTTCGGCGTGACGAGAGAACGTTTTAAGCACTAGGCTACCCCATCGCCCCATCTAGTCCATGAACCGAGGGAATTCCAATGAAGGAGCAGGAAGTAGCTCTGAAACGTCATACCAAAGAAGTTGTTAACCATAAAAAGTTCATCCATGTTCTTCCATCTTGTAAATACCTATCAAAAACTCCAATAGAATTAAAGAGGTGTCTTACTCAAGCATATAATGATTTGGCAAGTCTAAATTGTGTACGGGTTGTCCGAGGCTCCATGTGAATAGTGTTTATTTTTCAGATATTTGTATGCGATAACTAACTTGATTTCGTAGGGTGAGTGAGTGAGTTCAGTTTCACGCCGCTTTTAGAAATATTCCAACATTATCACGTAGGGGGGACACCAGAAATGGGCTTCACACATTGTACCCATTTGGGGAATCAAACGCGGGTCTTCGGCGTGACGAGCGAACGCTTTAACCACTAGGCTACCCCACCGCCGACTGATTTCTTTCTTGTCAGCCTGGGTGTAGTCGGGTGACAGTCGGGGTTGGGAGCGGGGAGGGTAGGGGAAGAGAAGAGAATGGAGAGAGGGTGCGTCTGGTGGCACAGTGTACGAGCGATGCGGATTCTCTGTGTGTATGTGTGTTCCCCTCTCTACAACAACGAGGCTTTCACAGTCCGTTGTGAAGTACCGATCGATAATAAAAATATGAAATGTCATGTTTTAATATGCTTGATAGGATGAATAATTATATTATGAGACACGTAATGTCTTGCATTAAACTACGCATGATATGACACGATGATATAGACAATACCAACAAAGGACCATGATTTCCGATGTATGATAGGTTACGCCAAGTTACGCCGCCTTCATACAGTGTAAATGTTGTCCTATTCATAACGTTAAGCAAACATTTAACACATGTTATATTTGAGATTACACTTTCTTAGTAAAGTACAGATTCTAGCACTTTTGTTGGGTGGAGTCCCATCCGGGATTTGAACCCACACTCTCAGAGTCAGGCGCCTAATCGCCAGCACACAAAGCGAGACGCCTCAGCGGCTTCCACAAATGGAAGTCGGACAACTTGTAGTCAAGACCACGGACTTTCTGGAAAGAAATTAGTTGTACGAGACGATGTAGTTGTAAGCCCTGCAATATCTTCTCATTCATTCTCTTCATCCTTGTCTTCCTCCTCCTTCATCCTTGTCTTCCTCCTTCTCAGGTCCGGCTGTACTGGCTCACAGGTCATCAGAAGGTTCAACCACCGTGACAGCTGAAACGCCAGCGTCTTCATCATTGCTTTCTTTGCGACATCATCGTTATCACCTAAAACTGCGTGACCTAAGACCCATACGCCAGTCCAGTACATCTTGTGTGCAATCTCAGAATCTCAGAACAAAATACTTGAATCACGTTTAACTTCATGATCACAGTATGTCAGAACACAGTGAAAAGGTGATCTGCAAGATGAAGTGTGTCCTATCCATCGTTCATCTGTAATTTCTGCTGATTTATCAAAGCTGTACATTTCTGTAATGAAAGGTAAACGACTGTCCTTAAGGTACAGTGTCAAGGCAGATGAAGTTCAGAAAGAAACACTCCTCTCATGCATTAATCAACGATACCCCGGTCAATTAATTAACTAATGGAATTTAATTAAATACGCAAGCCTTGATTGTAGCTGTGGGACAGACAGACAGCCTTGACCTTGAGGGTGGTGCCGTGTGAAAACTGCCGGCGTCATTTTGATTTAACACTCTCCTTTGGCTTATCGGATTTCAGTGAGTTGCATGTCACATTTCCATTGTCTTAGTGTCGATAACAGAAATCCATTTCCTCTTAACAAATGCTGCTTCTCCTACGAAAAATAAGAAATCAAAATATTTTGATGGTAGCATTGACTGCAATGCCAATTGTTCTGAAAAAATGTCATCGTCCTGTAATTGCGTGCAACGCCACGTGTTGAATGCGAATGTTTATGTCAGATATATGTTGGTTATATATCAGATATATATCGGCATGCCCGGTCCAGGTGATGTCCGTTATATGTATGATATACAACACAAGGGCCAGCGTCACGAAGTATGTTTTGTCGAATAAACAGCTTTCCATCTTCTTCCTGTTTCGTGTCATCTCTAAGTATGTTTACTCCGTGAAGCTCTAAGTATGTTTACTCCGTGAAGCTCTACTGCCTTGAGACTATCCACTGATCAGATCATCAATGCAGATGTAAGCTTTATAACGGAGTGGTCTGGTGATTATACCGTTTGTAACGCCGAAAACCCGGGTTCCGTTACATATTGGATAGAATCATTTTACAGGTGATGCAAATGCAGTAACTTTCTACAACGTCATATACGTCCCTCACATCATTTTTATTCGAAAACTTCGGAAATATTTAATTGTCTCTATATTTTCTGTAAGAGTGAGTGACTGAGTTTTTTTTTACGCCGCACTCAGCAATATTCCAGCTATATGGCGGCGGTCTGTAAATAATCGAGTCTCGACCAGACAATCCAGTGATCAACAGCATGAGCATCGATCTGCGCAACCGATGACATGTGTCAACCAAGTCAGCGGGCCTGACCACCTGATCCCGTTAGTCGCCTCTTACGACAAGCATGGGTTACTGAAGGCCAATATTCCAACCCGCTTCACGGGTCTTTTCTGTAAGATGGTGCTGTTACAAAGTTCCTTGTTAAGACGAATAATTCAATTCTTTTATTACGCAAGTGTAGGCCATCGGCCAATAACTACATAGGTTGCATTGTGCATGGCCAAACATGGTGTGTACAGTACAAGTTAATGATTTTAACATCTTAGATGCATTGCATGATAAATAAAGCTAGCTACATTTTTGATAAGTTTATAATTTGATGATGACATGAGGAGTTTGAATTGAGCTTTACGTGGATTTGTACAATAGGTTTTAGGTAGATTTTACACAAATAATCAATTGTCTTGTAACAAAGTATATGCGTACACCAGGGATATATAATTCACTCAATAACCTGTAGGTATGTGATACACCAGGGATATATAATTCACCCAATAACCTGTAGGTATGTGATACACCAGGGATATATAATTCACCCAATAACCTGTAGGTATGTGATACACCAGGGATATATAATTCACTCAAGCACTTGTAGGCGTATATAGCAAAGTATATGTGACGTACATCGGGAGTGAATTATTCACCCATTGGACATCCTATTCACCTTTCTATATATACTCATGCCAGTAATGGTTGTCACCCCCTCCCCACCCCCCCCACCCCACACACACATCACCCCACCCCTTCACACCCTCTCCAATTAAAAAAATTGAAGGGGGTGACAACCATTATTAGCATGAGTCTAGTTGAATCGTGGGATGTAGTCTGTAAATGGTTCAGTATGCCATTCACATCCAAAATCAATTTTCACTGACATCCGAGAGTAAGATATTGGTTAGACATATCACACTAAATCGTGGATCAAACCCTCCGTGCAAACCAGTGATAGATAAAAGCCGAACTACGGTTGTATCCGTATTCCTCAAAGGCTGAATAGTCGTTTTTTATTGAGTGAGAGAGTGATGTCACCCGATTACACCCCACGTCTTAAGTTTAACAAGTTTCAAGTGGAAGATGAGATCGGTTTGAATCACTCTACCACAAAACCGACCCCAATAACGTGTCAATTTAAGCTACAAATTAATCTACAAGGCATCGGCATGTTAATGACTAAGATATATAGGTCTGGACTGTTTTACACCCTTCTTCGTGGAAATCTGTCCTTCTAAGTCACAGAAACCAGTTGATCAACCAGAAGATGATTTCCCTGCGGTATTGTGGCTCGCTGACGAGGACGTATCTGCTGTCACGGACGCCACATGCACGACGACCATCGACCAAGGTGGCATACATGCAGATTGAACTGACATTAAGCCCAAGACTTTTACATAAAGACTTAAGGGACAGTGAAATGTGCTTTGGGAAGACATATTCGAAAAAACTCTTAAATGTTACTATATCCGAACGACGGAAGCAGATTACAATTTCATTACAGCTCGAAATGTGACTTTTATTTTTAGCGTGACTGAAATCGGAAAACGAATTTGACTGTGTATGGTGTTGCCTTCAATTTAAGAAGTTATGCATTCTTCATGGTATAACCAGGGATATGGTTCACATTGTGTTAATGATAATAATAATAATAATAATAATAATAATCGTCAGGCTCCCCATTGTTCTCGGTGCCCTTGGTTTGGTACCTCCTGATCTTTTGGCACAGATCAGGAGAGTGCCCTGGTTCTCCACCTGGAGTACAGCTCTTCTGACACTCTGGGTAATGCAGAAGGCTGCAGTGTTGGGGAGCCTTCATATTCTCCGGAAAGTTCTTGGTGGGTTCGACTAGGCAGCGTTTCCTGGGAGAAGTCCCATTCGCTGTCTGGGCTGCGTGTAGAGGGGGCAAGGGCCCTGAGCTGATGATGAGCCTTACCAGCCTGACTGTGCCAGGATCACCCAAACCCTCTCTGCTGCATATTATCTTTAATCTGTAAAACATAATAATAATGCGTGTAGAGGGGGCAAGGGCCCTGAGCTGAGGATGAGCCTTACCAGCCTGACTGTGCCAGGATCACCCGAACCCTCTCTGCTGCATACTATCTTTAATCAGTAAAACATAATAATAAAAATAATAATAATACTGTGTATATTTATATAGCACACTAGGTATGCTCCTAGCTCCTAACAATCAAAGCACAGGACATCATTACCCCGGATAAACTGCCTGTTAACACATATGCTTTTTCATATTTCTCATGCCTGTAGAACTGATTCTGGTTTGATAAACATACAATTGACTGGCATTGTAGATGTAGTGGCCCAGACCTTGCCCTGCTAGTCAACACACATGGTACCAACTACCACTCACGGCAGATCCTCATCTATGCTTACACACAACACACAGATCAGTGCTAGGTGAACGTTGTTATGTACCAGATATTGGTCAATTCTATTTTGACGTAACATTGTCGTGGTGCAAAACACACTAGAATCCTAAGCCTGTCCTGAGGTCTGCTAACGGGATCGGGTGGTCAGTTTGCTGACCTGGTGGATGCCATCGTATTCCAATTGCTACTAATGCTAATGATGGCAATCAGTGGATTGCCTTGTCCAGACTCGAATTTTTGCAGACCGCCGCCATAGAGCTGGAAGATCCCTCAATGCGCCGTTAAACAACAAACAACAAACAAACAAACAACTCTAAGTGGACGTTTACATTGCTATAAACCAAACAATCGTCAATTCTAGGTGCACGTTTATATTATAAACTACACCATGTGTGAATTGTAGGTGCACGTTTACATTATAAATTACACAGTGGTCAATGGTAGGTGGACATGTACATTGCTATAAACTACACAATGGTCAAATCTAGGTGCATGTTTACATTATAAACTACACAATGGTCAAATCTAGGTGCACGTTTACATTATAAACTACACAATGGTCAAATCTAGGTGCACGTTTACATTATAAACTACACATTGGTCAAATCTAGGCGCACGTTTACATTATAAACCACACAATGGTCAAATCTAGGTGCACGTTTACATTATAAACTACACAATGGTCAAATCTAGGTGCACGTTTACATTATAAACTACACAATGGTCAAATCTAGGTGCACGTTTACATTATAAACTACACATTGGTCAAATCTAGGTGCACGTTTACATTATAAACTACACAATGGCGAAATCTGGGTGCACGTTTACATTATAAACTACACAGAGGTCATTTCTAGTTGGTCGTTTACATTACTATAAACTACACAGAGGTCATTTCTAGGTGCATGTTTACATTATAAACTACACAGAGGTCATTTCTAGTTGGTCGTTTACATTACTATAAACTACACAGAGGTCATTTCTAGGTGCATGTTTACATTATAAACTACACAGAGGTCATTTCTAGTTGGTCGTTTACATTACTATAAACTACACAGAGGTCATTTCTAGGTGCATGTTTACATTGCTATAAACTACACAGAGGTCATTTCTAGGTTCACGTTTACATTGCTATAAACTACACAGTGGTCATTTCTAGGTGCACGTTTACATTACTATAAACTACACAGAGGTCATTTCTAGGTGCACGTTTACATTACTATAAACTACACAGTGGTCATTTCTAGTTGGACGTTTACATTACTATAAACTACACAGAGGTCATTTATAGGTGCATGTTTACATTACTATAAACTACACAGAGGTCATTTCTAGTTGGACGTTTACATTGCTATAAACTACACAGTGGTCATTTCTAGTTGGACGTTTACATTACTATAAACTACACAGTGGTCATTTCTAGTTGGACGTTTACATTACTATAAACTACACAGAGGTCATTTCTGGTTGGACGTTTACATTACTATAAACTACACAGAGGTCATTTCTAGGTGCATGTTTACATTACTATAAACTACACAGTGGTCATTTCTAGTTGGACGTTTACATTACTATAAACTACACAATGGTCATTTCTAGTTGGACGTTTACATTACTATAAACTACACAGAGGTCATTTCTAGGTGCATGTTTACATTACTATAAACTACACAGTGGTCATTTCTAGTTGGACGTTTACATTACTATAAACTACACAGTGGTCATTTCTAGGTGCATATTTACATTGCTATAAACTACACAGAGGTCATTACTAGGTGCATGTTTACATTGATATAAACTACACAGTGGTCATTTCTAGGTGCACGTTTACATTACTATAAACTACACAGAGGTCATTTCTAGCTGCATGTTTACATTTCTATAAACTACACAGAGGTCATTTCTAGGTTCACGTTTACATTGCTATAAACTACACAGTGGTCATTTCTAGTTGGACGTTTACATTACTATAAACTACACAGAGGTCATTTCTAGGTGCACGTTTACATTACTATAAACTACACAGAGGTCATTTCTAGGTGCATGTTTACATTGATATAAACTACACAGTGGTCATTTCTAGGTGCACGTTTACATTACTATAAACTACACAGTGGTCATTTCTAGCTGCATGTTTACATTACTATAAACTACACAGTGGTCATTTCTAGTTGGACG